GATTGACCCCCCCCCCCCCCCCAGAAAGGTCTATTGGTGTAAATATCCAATTTCATGGCAGTGAGATTAATTTTTATACACTAGATCCAGACACAGATTTTTGAATATTTAAAAACTGGGGACGTGTAACCACATTTTTGCCTATAGTTTATCAGACTTCTCACGTACTACAGAAAATTCCGTAGTTGCCAAGAAATGTTTCCAAATTACGAACCTACGGAAATAGACAAATACTACGGAAATTTACCATAGGCCGAGACCCATAAATGTGTATGTCTAAAGTCTAGGAAAAATTACTTTTCTATCAGGATCTCATGGTTAAATTGACACTAGACAACTCATTTTAAGATTACCAATAAATTACTGTATTGTGAAAATTAAGAGAAAGTGGCTCGTAAATGTTCATCCTGTCCCGTTTATTTTAAATTCCACAGCTGTTATTGTCATGTACCTGTTATTTAGGCAGCCCATATTTTGCATTTAAGACAAATAGGTGCTACGGAAATTTTGTATTTACTACTCAAGGGCGTCGGAAGCGATCCGGTTGGTCTGGTTTTGGCCGGACCAGTAATTTACAACTCAATATCGTTTGTAAGCCAAATTCTACTTTCTCTGACGCAATCAAACATAACTTGCACATTCAAATTTGGAGGGGGCCGACTGGGACCTCCCTCAAACCTGCCACTTCCCAGTGGTGAAACTAGGTTCCGATGGGCCCTTTTTCGAGAGTGCAGTCATCATACAGGTTAAGAATGCTATATCTAGAAAAATAATGACCAAATCACAATTAGTTTTTTAAATAATATTAAAGACAGTGTATTGCAAAAATTATATAAAAATAAATTGTTTAAAATTACTTATCAATTCCATAATTATATGAAATGAGATGCTTATTCCTCAATGAATGAATAAATAAAGTGCAAGAAACACGAACACATTTACTGTATAATGCAATATGAATAATAATTGACTATAGGTCTATTATATTTATACAAGCTGATGGATGTGAAATACCTAAAAAACTTTATTGTCCATTTTAAAATAGGAATTTGTTTTTCCTTTGCAACAGTCTTGGTTAAAAAGGATAAAATTACATCACACGACAGAACAACTTGGCAATGACCAGAAATAGGCCTACGTTAAGATACTAACAATTTAAAATAGTAAAGTAGTAAAAAGTAAAAATAAAAATCACTGTTTAAAATTTACTATGTGTATCTCAGAAACAGACCAGCCATTTTAGTAAAGATTAAAATTAAAAACCTTTGCTATAAAATACTGACAGCAATAAAACATGTGTTATGTATACACAGGATACAGTATGCATATTCATGAATAAATAAAAATGCAAGAAACAGAAACAAAATTATATTACCGTATATAATGCAATATGAATAACAATGAATGTGCGCCTATTATTTATACGAGTTGACGGATATTGTGAAATAAAGAGACTGCATATTATTTAGTAGTATTGTAAAGTTTTGGTTTATTAATGGCAGGAGGACCATGTAATAATAAAAAGATATGGCCTAATTAAATTAACATGTGTTATGAATACACAGGGACACGGGTACAATATGCTATGCATTATTTAGTAAACCTATTAAATGTCTGTGAATAAGCTAGGTGAATACCGTTAGATTTTCAAATAACAGACTGCTATATTATTTAGTATTATTATTTAGTAAAGTTTTGGTTTATTAATGGCAGGAGGACCATGTAGGTATTTCCTATCGTATGGACAGATCTACCAGGTGATAAGTACTCAATAGAGCAATTAAGAATCAGGGCATCACTTTTGAGTGGAGGGTCAATTAAGGTACTCTACTGTACGTTTACAGACAGGGGTTATACTCAGCCCTACAACAGTCCCGGTCAGGGTCGTGGACAAACGCCAGGGAAAATCAGCAATTTTGATTAGATACTTATTAACTGATAGCTTATAAATCAATTCAACTGATCGATTTATACTTTTTTGATTAAAAAAATTACTATGACATGGCCCAAGCCGTACAACCCGTAGCTGAGCTATTGCCTAGGCTGGTTCGAGACGAATACGTATTTTTGCAACATACTGAGCGGGCCGTATGGTAATACATTGGCTAGTGTAAAAAAATATAAATATAAATAAATATATAAATATATCATTTCTACTGTTAAATCAATGTTTAACTACTATACTTGTAGGCCTACTACGATTTACGAAATCCCATGGTGACAAATATAAATGATAAGCATGAATGGTTAAATGTATAGGGCCTATATTTAATACAAGTATGAATGATATTGATATAATAGAATAGTGGGTGTTTTGAGCTATAGACAAAGACAAATCCAATGAAAAGAAGTCATAATGCATTGAGAATTATGTATTTTTGGCCGGACCAATAAAAATAGCTTCCGACGCCCCTGCTACTGCAGTGTACGTAGGTTCCGATTTGCGGCCAATTTGGTCCCTCAATACCTTAATCAGCGTGTACCAAAGGGTAATGGCGAAAGGCTATTGTAGTAAATACTTGTTTTGATTCCTTATTCTACTCCTTCTAGGTCTGCTATACCCAGTCCTACACCTTATATGAATACCAGGATAAGAAAACCAAATATAAATCATTAAAAATCATAATCTTATTTAATTGTATTTCAATTTAATTTGTAAAAATAATTTGAATAATGTAGGTTTTATTTCATTTTTTCCTTTTTATTCTATTGCAACTTTGTTATTTTTATATTTTTATAAAGGTGACAGTTTATTGCGAAAATCAGTATAAAAAATGTCAATGCCATAACTAAATGAAGGAATTCCTCCATGAATTAATAAAGTGCAGGAAACATTGAGCAAATTATATAATGCAATATGTAAAAAAATGACTATAGGCTTATTGTATTTATTTATATGAGTTGATTAGTATTGTGAAATACATATAAAAATGATGCGGGCTTTATTAAATAAAACATGTGTTATGAATACACAGGGTACAGTATGCTTATTTCTCCGTGAATAAATAATCATAAACACATTATATAATGCATTATGTATAACAATGACTATATGCGTATTGCATAAAAATTATGTAGGCCTAATTAAACATGTGTTATGAATACACAGGGTGCAATATGATGTGCATTATTTCAATAAACCTATTAATTGCATTTTGATTTAAACCTACAAGTTTATACCTTAGAGTTTCGATTAACAGACTGCTGGTATAGATTTATATTTTCAATTAATTGAGAAATAGACTACGTAGGTATTTTTCCATGGACAGAACTATCAGGTGATAAATGTATACTTAGAGCAATAAGAATCAGGGGAATCAAATTGGGGTGGAGGATCAATGTTATTTTTCACATAGTTACATAATTTTCGTGCTGATTCTGACCTTATGGTACCCAAGGATCATGAAAATATCGATTATGTTTGATTTAAATTTGTACAGCATAATTTTCTTAGCGTTTAAAAGTTTTAATTTTCCCAGATTCGCACACATTGGCCTGATAAGTATCATCCGGTTTAACATTGTAGCGTTTGTCAACCTTCAGACTATTGTTGTGATCCGCAGGTCCCAATTGAACACAAAAGAGCCGAAAATGGTCCGGTCAAAAAATCATGCCAAAAAAAATCGTGAGCTAGGCCTATACACTTTTCAATTTTTCACCAAGTAGTTTTCGTGCTGATTCTGACCTTACAGTGGTACGTAAGGATCATGCAACTATCAATTATGTTTGAATTAACCTTGTACAGCATTATTTTCTTAGCGTTTAAAAGTTTTAATTTTCCCAGATTCGGACACGTCGTGGGCTTCTCTTGGTGATAGTTACATTTAGTGGTACGGTTTTTAGAAATGAATGCGTTTTATTATCTGAC